AGGAACATTTTTAAGATGTGTGTGACCGCTGTCTCTGTCCATGTAACTCTATAGGTTAGAAGCTCTGAACTCTTGACAGGGAAATAAGTCTTTGGACCCGGTTTATTGATGTCTCTGTCCACACACTTTGCACTTCATGTTTGGCGCCTCTACACAAACTGTGTTACCAGAGATACTTATAGCTTAACCTTAATCTAGCAGTGACAACGTTTTATACTATACTTATCTTGTAACTTTCTCCAGAGACAAGTTTTACCGGACAAACATCATAATGATGGACAATGGGTCCGCTGGTTCCTATCTATACTGTTTCTACTTTCTTCAAATTCTGGCTAGTAACTTTCTATAATTGGTTTTTTAAACTTCTGTCTGAGAAACCAAAATTATATTCGACATTCTCAATCACCGGGTTGAGAGGTATACATGAGCAAGTCTCCTTCCACTTACTGTCCCTGCTCACCTAGCAGTAAATAGGTACCTGGGTGTTGAGATGCAATCTGGGATGTAAGTTCAATTGCGAATGATAATGAATACATAGCATTACATAATAATAATAATAATAATAATAATAATAATAATAATAATAATAATAATAATAATAATAATAATAATAAAGACGGAATGCTACAAAAAGTTAATGAAGTTTTAAGGAGAGTTACTACGAGCCATGTAACTTTTAAAATAATCGTGTTTGGTGGCTGGTTAATGGGGGGCTTAAATCCAATTTTCAGCATATAAACACTGAGAGGCATACACCACTCGGTGTATATACATCCTGGTGTATATAAGATGTTGGTTCAAGAGCTGAGACTCGACCCAGAAATGCTTTGCATAACCAAATGCTTTTCACGTATATTACTAAATCTTAATCATTTTTTTCACTGACCTGTGCAAAATCCTTTGTGGGGGTTAAGAGTCGAAGATGAGACAGAGCAAGAATAGATTTCTGTGAGAGGAGTGTCACTAAGAGGATAAAAAGAGTCAGAACCTAACCCAGCTGCTGAGAACCAATTTTGTAAAATCTACGTACTGCTCAACAGGGGAAAAAAAGTATTTATTGTATTGTCCGACATATAAGGCGCATGATCATATGAGACGTATAAGACGATGTTACCAAGCAGCTGTAACGTAACGTTAGTAAACAACTGCTAAAGCGTAACACAATGCCTACCCTTAACCCTGACTCTGAGCATATAAGGCGCAGGCTGATTTCCGAGACTTTTTGTGGGGAAAAACCGCGCCTTCTATGCCGGGAAATACGGTATTTATTATTTCACTAGAAGAGTGCACAGAAAACACTAATATATCAATTTTCCAGATATTTATTACTGCCAACCAGATTCACGAAACTTTCGCACGAACCCGTTGCGATTTTCACACACACACACACACACACACACACACACACACACACACACACACACACACACACACATGCAACCTCAGACTGCAGCCACACTGGGAGGGTATTAAATATCCTAAACCAATTATTTTTGCTTAGTAATTATGGTTCTGGCATTACCTTTCAATAAATAAGCAGTTACATTTGTCAAGATGGCGAACATTATACTGCTTTCATCCAACCTCTGTTGTGCAAAAAGTTGCTGTGCCACAGAAATGATAAAATATGAGTCTTGGATGACTTTCTGCCGCCAGAGTGACTAGTTTATTACCAGTTGTTCATCTTGTGAGTGACTAGTTTATGGTATCTTGTGAGTGCATCCTCAGCGTAGGAAAAATAACTACGAGAGAGGTCACACTGGGTGTTTATTAGCTGCAACTGGAAATTATTTTTCACAAAACTAATCTACACACATTAGAATAACATGTATAGATTAGCATTTTAGTCACCTGTGTATCGGACTGAAGAAGCCTGCTGAGCAGGCGAAACCTTTCAGAAATAAAGAGATCAAAATGTTGCATCCGCTTGTCGGTATTGTATACGGGGTGCATAATAGATATCAAATTAACATTACTGTTATGACTGCGAGTGTGGTGGTGGTGCTGGGGTGTCTACAACATGCTCTCCCACGCACCCTCACCTCGGGGTACACCCAGGTCTTGGCCAACACCTCTTAAGTTACCAGTAACTCATCCAACTAAGGGAGTTATTATTAGTTTTAGTAGCTTTACGCTCGTACTGCTTGATACCAAGACTTTTTGTGTGTGGTGGGTAAATTACTACGCATCTATGCTTCGTATTTATTTACTTTATTGGTATAAACCTTGGTAATAGATACCGACAAATTGGTCTAGAAAGACACGAAAGCAAACACTAAGATATATTTAATGGGAAACGTTTCTGTCCTGGGACTATGATCAAGGTCCCAGGACCGAAACGTTTTGCATTAAATATATCCTATTGTTTACTTGCGTGTCTTTCCAAACCATTTCCTTCCTTAAGTAGGTATAAAATCCGCTCCTGTCTCTCGCGACAGAATGTGAGTGACCGGGTCTTGTGTTGTGTCAGCAACGCACTGGCCTTCAAACTCTAGCCTTCTCCAAATACCACTACCAGGAGCTGGTAAATGCTCGCATAGGCTTGAAAGTGGAAGTAAATAAAAAAAACGCTATTTTTCAATGCAAGGCCTTATTCCTGTTACGTTTCGTCCAGGGCTGGATATCATCCTCCAGCCCCAGAGGACACGTTGTAGGATGCGCATGACCAGATATTGTAACCATGATTTTTAAAGAGGTAGACCACTAAGCCAGCGGAAGTCCTCGGTCAGCTAACTGAAAGCTTCAGCTGTGGGTCATCACATGACTAAGATCCGCGTTAAAAAGCACTTGTTCTGTTTCCTGACAAACATTATACCTAGCATGGCCAGATCGATGTTGTCTCGGAGATGGAATGTCGTCATGCTTCGTTAAATGTGTAATGTCCAGAATGTATTCAGTTCATGGGATGTTTACCTAGACTAACGCGAGTGCTTAACAAGTTTTTGTTAAATTAGACACATGTGCAACACTAGGGTATCTTTATTGAGAAAAACGTTTCGCTACACAGTGGCTTCAACAGTCCAATACAAAGGAGACTGGTGAAGATCAAGAGATTGAGGTAATCAGTCCTTCAGCCTGGAAATGATTGCTCAAGTGATTACATCGACTCCAGGCTGAAGGACTGATTGCCTCAATGTCCCTTTGATCTTCACTATTCTTCTTTGTATTGGACTGATAAAACCATTGTGTGGCGAAACGTTTCTAAAGTAAAGATACCCAAACGTTGCACATGTCTAACATTTCAACTTTTCGGTTCTCTGAATCATTTAACTACATAACAAGCTATTGTTGGGACAATATTCATCGCTGCTGAGAGACTGAAGAAAAGTTACAGAGATTTCTGGAAGAATTTAAAACTGGATATAGGAAAGAGCAAGGCAATGAAAGACTGGATATCAGACTGGAGAGAGGGAATATGAAGACATTATATCTTGAGAGTTGGTAATGGCCTTGTCGGCAGATGGTTCTATGAAAGATGAAGTGAAATAAAGTTGATGAGGGGAAAAGAAAGTGGGTGGTGTAGTACAATGAAATTTGGGTGTGTGGAGAATGAATACTCTTCGGCGGCGACATGTCACTTTATTGGGTTCTTGGTACACAGGCAGTGTGTTCGACGATGGGCCAGGCCCATGCCTGCGAGGGAGAGAGTACCCTGTTGTCTCTATGTTGAGTTGGAAATAAGTGAGGCAGAGAGAGGGTAGTGCAGGTTGAGCTCGAAAGGTCTATGGCCATTAGATGTCAGCACCAGCGTGACTCGAAATATAAAGGCGACACAACGCGAAATATAAACCCCAACTGGGTAAACAGGTGCACTGGGGAATCTGTGGAGGCAAAGAACTGTATCCAATGAAGTAAAAAGGGAATTCCGTACTATAGTCGTACCACCACTTTGGTATGAGTGTGAAGCATGGGCTTCAAACGTTGCAGCGAGAAGGGGGCTGAAAGTAGTGGAGATGTCATATTTGAGGACAGTGTGTGTGGTGTGAATATTATGCAGAGAATTCGAAGCTTGGAGATTAGAAGATCTGGGACTACCAAAAGTATTGTCAGAGAGCTGAGAAGGGGGTTATTGAGGTGGTATGGAAATTCAGAGCCTAAGAAAAATAGGATGACTAGAAAGTTGTATAAATATAGGGAGGAGGGAAGGAGCTGAGCTGGTCCTAGGAAAGGTTGGGGGGAGGGAGCAAAGGAGATTTTGAGTGCTAAAGGCGTGGACATCCAACAGGTTTGGGTGAGCGTGTTAGCTGGGAGTGAGTGGAAGCAAGTGTTTTTTTTTTTATATATGACGTTCTGTTGGAGTACAAGAAGGATAAACATTTATGAAGGGATTCAAGGAGAAACCCATTAGCCGGACTTGAGTCCTGGAAGCGAGAAGTACAGTGTCTGCACTCTGAAGGAAAGGTGGGGGATGTTGCAATTCGGAGGGCCATCTGAACTGTGATAACAGTACGATTCTGGAAAGACAGCGACAATGAATGGCGGTCAACATATTGAGCTTCATCAAGTCATGATAAAACTACACAAAGCTAAACGTTGTCCCAGTAAAAGCTTTTTTCTACAACTTGTGTCTGTCCTTGATAAAGGTGACTGGCTAACTACAAATTTGTCACAACTGAACGATGGAAAATAATAGTCACGAATACTCACACCTAACATGAGGCAAAAGGAACATGAGGAGATAAACAAACATGCAAAGCATGATATCTGTCGTAATAAAAAGACATCAAAAGCAACAGTGTAAAACGACAAAAGCGATAATGTGAAACGAAAACATGAAAAAAATGCTAAAACATTGTAATACAACAGTGGTAAACGAAGAAGACACTGTTTGAAACCATAGTGGAAAGTGAAGACAAAATCCAACAACATAAGAGGTTAACACTGGGTAAAAAGAGTGTAAACAAACAGAAGGGGAAGAGAGTAAACAAATAGAAGGGGGAAGAGAAACCCAAACAAGGCAGTATAAAAGGAATATCAACAAACAAGGATGGGGTACTCACCGCCTTTTTCTTCGCGTGTCGTCTCTTGTGTCGCTTCTGTCTGTCTCTGGCTCCCTCGACTATGTCTCCAACCGTCGCCACCACCACCATCACCACCGCCACCAACAACCACAGCCTCATATTTTCACACTAGTCTCTCGTCTCCCTCTCTCCCTTACACCTTACAATTAACACTGCCCAGCGTGCGTGTGGCTGAGATGCGGCAGGTGGCTAAAATGGTGCGAATTGCGGCTTAGAAGCTGAGACAAGTGGTAATATGGTGGGTGTGAAAGGTGCAGGTGGTAAGTTACACACTCACTTGACTGACACTAGGCTAGCTGCTCCGGATATACTTCAGGACAGGTTACGTTACGGCTGGATGCTTCTGTCCAGGTGCCAGAGGTACTCCAATGATGGCACTGCTCACCCAGTGCCAAGTTTCACTGATGTTGTCACTAGTTCAAATACCAGTTTCACTAACACTCGTGCCTCTTTCAGCTCGAGACTTCGAAAAGGTTCGGAATCACTGTCCTCGTACCAAAGTTCCAGCAATACTAGTACTTGTACTCTAGTACCAATTCTTTTACAAAAGCTGATACCAATACTCAAGCACCAAAATTATTAGTCTTGGTTCCACTGTACAAGTAAGTGGACAGCGAGGTGTTGGTAGGACTCACGTGTGGACTTCAAACTCACAGACTGGTTCGCGTCCCTCACGGACCAACTCCGGGATCCTTCGCGGACCGACACCAGAACCGGAGTCACCAGCTGGGCGGAGCCTCGGCCACTGCCACAACACACCTTGGAACGGATCACTCATTAATATATTATACTCACGTGAAGGGGTTAAGCCAGTAAGGGTTTATACAGTACCTGGGGAACCAGAGGTGAACACATTCCTCAAATGATTCAATAGAAAATCCTTTCCATACTGTATCTTTCCTTAACCGAGTCGCTCATCAAATGTGTGTTAGTTACCATTTTGTCCTAGGCACATGTCGATTAGACACTAGGCCTGGTGTGTGTGTGTGTGTGTGTGTGTGTGTGTGTGTGTGTGTGTGTGTGTGTGTGTGTGTGTGTGTGTGCGTGTGGGTTGTGTGGTGTGGTGTGTGTGTATGTGTGTGTGTTGTGTGCTGTGTGTGTGATGTGGTCTGTGGTGTGTCCGTCGCGTGTGAGTGTGTGGAGTGTGTGTGTGCTGTGTGTGGTGTGTGTGTGTGTCGTGTGTGTGTGCGTTGAGTGTGTGTGGTGGTGTGTGGTGTTGTGTCTGTGGGTGTCGGGTGTTGTGTGTGTGTGTGTGTGTTGTGTGTGTGTGTGTATTGGTGTGGTGTGTGTTGTGTGTGTTGTGTCGTTGGTGTGTGAGTGTGTGTGTGTGTGTGTGTGTGTGTGTGTGTGTGTGTGTGGTGTGTGTGTGCGTGTGAGTGTGTGTGGTGTGTGTGTGTGTGTGTGTGTGTGTGTGTGTGTGTGTGTGTGTGTGTGTGTGTGTGTGTGTGTGTGTGTGTGTGTGTGTGTGTGTGGTGTGTGTGTGTGTGTGTGTGTGTGTGTGTGTGTGTGTGGTGTGTGTGTGTGTGTGTGTGTGTGTGTTTATGTGTGAAATGTCATAAGTGCAAGAGACTTGATCTTAAAAATTATAATTTCAGTAACTTTAAATAAGTACAAGTTTATAATAACACATAATAAGGTCACAACAAACAACAGATCATGTGTAGGTCACAGCTTAACAACAGGTCAGGTATGTAAAGGTCACATCCTAACAGACAACAGGTCATGTGTGTGAAGGTCACAGCCTCCCACAGCACTCAAGGTCAAACTCTACACAAGATTTTTATTACAATTTTTTGTAAGAAAAACGTTGTAGAGATGCTACTGACGAAACCACAAAACACAAAAGTTACAATGACATCCTTCACATCAGAGGAGAGGTAGGAAACCCGCCCCTCTGTGCGCACCCATATGAATCGTGCGAAGGAGACGAGGGGGTGAGATATCAAGTGACAGGTTCCTGTCCGTGACAAGGACACCTTCCTTCCTGTCTCCTGCAGCCTCCGAGGACCTTGATGTCTCACGCTTTCATCTGGTAATCTCGCGTCTTGAACAGGAAGCACTCAGCTAGGCCAGCTTCCTCAAGTCAAGCATTTGGCACCCTTCCCTCCCCCCCTTGTCTTCCTACTCCAGGATGCTACCCACAACGATTAACTCTTTATTCAATATGCGAACCACAACAGTCCTCCGCCCTTCAAGATGATAATCACGTTACTAATACCAGAGCAGAGTTAGTTTGATATGTGCCACATATTCATCTGTGGTCTGTTGGCCATTCACTTACGAATCTAAGACTCTCATCTACCAACAGGATTGAACCCCTTATCCGCACACTTCTACAGGATCGAACACCTTATTTGCACACTTCTACAGGATCGAACACCTTATCTGCACAATTCTACGGGGTCGAACACCTTATCTGCACATCTCTACAGGATCGAACACCTTATCTGCACACGTCTACAGGATCGAACACTTTATCTGCACGCGTCTACAGGATCGAACACCTTATCTCTATACTTCTACAGGATCAAACACCTTATCTGCACACTACAGGATCGAACACCTTAGCAGCACACTTCTACAGGATCGAACACCCTATCTCCACACTTCTACAGGATCGAACACCTTATCTGCACACTTCCACGGGATAGAACACCTTATCCGCACACTGCTACAGGATCGAACTATATCTGCACGCGTCTACAGGCTCTAACACCTTATCTCTACACTTCAACAGGATCAAACACCCTATCTGCACATCTCTACAGGATCGAACACTTAATAAGAAAATAAGGTCAGTGCAAGAGGTAAGCTTCAGCAACTGTCTTGTATTTCTACTTCAGTCCACTTTGGCAGCCTCTTGAAAAAAAAAGGTATATACTTCTCATAAAAAGTGTCACGAGAGTCTTTTGTCTCTAAAACTGCGTCTGTGAGATTTTATTCCCGTTATATATACCCTCTCCATGTTATATATACCACTTTCATGTATTGAACTTCATATCATATATACTAAAAATGAACTTAAGCTGATATGCGTTGCATAAATTCTGATAAGTAGATCCTTGTTTTTGTGTATGCACTGATAGCAGCGGTGTAGTTTAACGCTTGGTATAGCCTAGTATATACACACTTCAAGTTTACTTTAATCCCCATAAGCCCGTATTCAGGATTAAGGTATCCTTGACTGGTGGTGAACAGGTTGCATGGATGAGGAAGAGGAAAATTAAGAGAAAGAGGACGAGGAGGAAGTTGGTAGGTAGGCTTGTGGAGGCCTTCAGGCATGTGTGCGCGCGCGCGCCAAACGAGGAACCCTACTGTGATTTGTCATCCAACCTGACCTCTGCCAGTCTGCCCTCAAGGCAACACTACCTCCCTCAAGCACTACCTCCCTCAAGCTCTGCTTCCCCCATTGTTTACTTTTTATAAGCACATAAACTGGAGAAAGTGCAGAAGCATGCAGAGGACTGTTCCTGAGCCAAGGGGCATGAACTACGAGGAGAGGCTACCAGAATCTAACGACCATGGAGGACAAAAGAACTAAGGAAGACATGATAACAACACAATATATTCACGGGAAGTGATAGGACAGACAGGGACAGGATGACTCACGAAATCGTAATGACACGATGTTTGTGAGGCGAGAAACAAGTACTCGGGGGCACAGCTGGACGTTAAAGACACAGATGAGCCACAGGGATGTTTGGAAGTACTTTTTTTTTAGTCTCAAGGTGATCAGGAAGTGGAATGACCTCGACGAAGAAGTGCTAAAGACAGATTCCATACATAATTTTAAGAATAGGTACGATAGGGCCCATAGGCCTTAGAGAACGTTAATCTGGCAAGCGACAAGTTGAGAAGCGGGGCCAGGAGCTAAGACTGGACGGACCCATTCAACCACATATAGGTGAGTAAATATGTAGGGAATACACACACACACACACACACACACACACACACACCACACACACAACAGGGACCAGGAGCTGTGAATCGACCACTCCAACCACATATAGGTGAGTACACACGTCTAACAGAGTTGGAGGTCTTAGATCAAACCGCCCAGGTAAAATTCCGTCTCCTCCCGAATAGGTGTCAACTTAGTGTTGCCTACCCCTGGTCCATAACCTGAGTGACCCAATGTGTAAACAAATTTCTCTAGGTCAGTCACCTGAGTCACATCGTATTATTATTATAATAAAAAATAAAGCGCTAAACCTAGTCACATTGTAGATTGGACATATCAGTGTTTATTTACGTATTACATACGTGTGTGTGTGTGTATGTTTTATAGGCACTCTCACTGTCAACTTATTTCGTTCACTGAAGATGGCTCGAAATCTTTCGCATGTGCATTTTCTCGCCTTTATAATGAATAAATTTTAGGGAATGGCTCACCCTATACTCTACACGTGTTGAGTTTCACTCACGCGCCGCCAAACACGCGATGGACTGGCGGGGTTGCGGGTGCGTGGACGTGTGCGTGCGTGTGGGTTCTGGAGGCAGTAGGTACACACACACCACCACCACCACGCACGGCTGTCACTACCACACTGAGTGGTCTAGCTGACACACACACATATACATACACACCGTCCGCACTCCTGCTACTGCTCTCACCCACCACCACCCCTGCATATCACCACCTACTACTACCCCTGCATCTCACCACCTACCACTACTTCCACCAAACCACGTACAATAACCCCTGCCCCTAACAACCTACCATTACCCCAGCTACCCCGGGTTAGTGACTTCTCAATAATATTCCCAAATGTTCCAGTGTTAGATCTTCGAGAGCCTGGTTCCTGGGGCGTTGGTGGCTCCATGCGCTCTTGTTCTACCGTGTGCAGGAAGGACACGAAATACACAACTACACGCGCCAGGGCAAACATCCGAGTTTAAATCTCTTGCATAATTCTACTTTTAGCGCAAACTACATCCAACAGCTTCAAGCTTTTGGCACTAGGCCTGTTGGTACATGTTAACACTGAATCATGCAGCCATGATCCACCAGGCAGGTTCTCTCGGCCAGTTTCTTTATTTCCCTCTCACATTCGTCTTGACCATGAAAAACAACACTATCTCTATCCCTGCCACTATCATCACTGTTCTGATGAGCCCCTCACACACCAATCACCATAACACACATTAATACACAGAAATGCAAGATTCCTTCTGGGGTGTCCAGGGATCTGCAAGAGGAGGAGACGGAGAGATTCAAGGAAGAAAAATATTGGTGAAGTGGGTGATCAAGTGAAAGTTGTTGCTACTGATGGGTGAAGTTGACAAGTTGTTACAAGTGGTGGGTGATGCTGACAAATTGTTACAACTGGTGGAGGATGTTGACAAGTTGTTACAACTGGTGGAGGATGTTGACAAGTTGTTACGACTGGTAGACGATGTTGACAAGTTGTTACGACTGGTGGAGGATGTTGACAAGTTGTTACGACTGGTGGAGGATGTTGACAAGTTGTTACGACTGGTGGAGGATGTTGACAAGTTGTTACAACTGGTGGAGGATGTTGACAAGTTGTTACAACTTGTGGAGGATGTTGACAAGTTGTTACAACTGGTGGAGGATGTTGACAAGTTGTTGCAACTGGTGGAGGATGTTGACAAGTTGTTACAACTGGTGGAGGATGTTGACAAGTTGTTACAACTGGTGGAGGATGTTGACAAGTTGTTACAACTGGTGGAGGATGTTGACAAGTTGTTACAACTGGTGGAGGATGTTGACAAGAAAAAAAACCAATAGCTTATTGCCAGAACCAGGGTAGAAGTGTAGAGCTCGGCACCTGAGTACTCCGTACACACACAGTGTTCCTTCAAAACTGAGTACTCGGTATACACATACACACGGTGTTCCTTCAAAACTGAGTATTCGGTATACACACCAACAGTGTTCCTTCATAACTGAGTACTCGGTATACACACACGGTGTTCCTTCATAACTGAGTACTCGGTATACACACACGGTGTTCCTTCATAACTGAGTACTCGGTATACACACGGTGTTCCTTCAAAACTGCGTACTCGGTAAACTCACATGTTGCTTCAGTTTAGTTGATCAGACTAGCAACCACGCCTGGTCTGGGACCTGGTCGCGAGGGTGGGGGGGGGGGTCTGTTCGCCTCCAGAAGAGATTACAGGGTCACCACTGCAATGGATTAAACCTGACTGCTTCCCATTTCCCATTACCTATGTGCTGTAATTCACAAATAATAATAATAATAATAATAATAATAATAATAATAATAATAATAATAATAATAATGTGTGCTATATTTTGTAGCGAAAATGAAGACAAGACAAGTAATGACCTTTGGAAATGGCCTCTGGAATGACTTCTGCGAGTGATCTCTGGAAATGACCTTTGGAAATGGCCTCTGGAATGACTTCTGCGAGTGATCTCTGGAAATGACCTTTGGGAATGGCCTCTGGAATAACATCTGGGAATGAAATGATCTGTATAATTGCCTGTCCTCTCATCGTTAAGTTTTTATAATGCTTGGTGTCAATCTCCAGTGTTGCGTTCGCCTGTAGCCGACTGAAGACTGAATATCGCCTGCTGAGCAGGCGATATTCAGGTGTTGCATATATGTTTTATTCATTAACTTAGTGGTAGTCAAGACATCCCATTAATAATACGACCTAATCAGGGATAGCTAGGATAGAAAGACGAATTTTGAATAGTTCTATAATTTAGCTGTAGTCCTGCAGGACACCCTCGAACCACTGCCACGATCATGGGAGCTCGTTAGAGTACGTGGAAGTACGTTGGAGAGCATGGAAAAGGCAGATAGCAGAAGTCCACACCACACCAGGAGGCCTGGTCACAGACCGGGCCGCGGGGGCGTTGACCCCCGGAACTCTCTCCAGGTAAACTCCAGGTAAGGTTATCTGCTGAGAACTATCTACTACTAACTAGATTAAGGACTACCATGTATTATCTAGGTTGTGGGAAATCCGGCAATAGTTAACTGAGCTCCCGAAACCGTTACTTCTTGTAAGTCTTGGAAGGGAGTGAGGTGACGTGAGGGAGGGAGTGTGTAGTAACGCATAGGTGTGTGAATCGTAGAAAAAAAAGGCAGAAGGCTCCGTCACTATTACGTATAGATAGAGATGATCGACAGAGAACAGTTGATAATAAGCATCAATCAGTGAGAAACAGAGGGAGCCAAGCATCATCCCTGGTGGATAGCACAGATAATTAATATAATTGACGACCATATGCAATTGAAAACTTTCTCAGACAACCTGTAAAAGAGAGCAGCAGAATGACAAGAGGACGCCAGTAAGCAAACAAGTAACTAGTAAGTTTATTTAAGGACAGGTACACATAAATAGTTACACAAATTATCATACATAGCAGCATATGTGTAAATTACCTAGGATAACCCAAAAAATTAAGACAATAAGTACATTTTTTTCACAATTCATGACGAATTATGCTTGTTGTGCGTGAGACAGACAGAAACAGAGCCAGACAGAACAGACTAAGGGACGGACAAAGCAACAACGCTACCCTACAGCCCATTCAGTGAGCATAAAAGTATGACGGTGGGCGCCTGTCTTCTCTCCTGCCTGACGCCACACTCGGTCTCCCACCCCAGGAGCTGTCTCGCCCATCTACAGTCTTACAGCGTTAACAACCTCTACTAGAACTCAGCTGAGTTAAGAAGCCTTACACGTCTTCTTCTCTCAAGAGTAAGAGTGCCTAAGTGTACAGAGGAAAGGTAAGAGTTTGGCTTGCTTCCTATGAGGAAGTCTGAGGGAGGTGCCAAGGCTATGGCTGAATCTTCCTCTTGGTTAGTCAAAGATTGGATTCCACGGGGCACTTCTGGGCGACCTGTCACACAGTAGGCTAGACAATAATCACTGAAATATATATATGTATATATAATATATATTATATTATATATATATATATATATATATATATATATATATATATATATATGATATATATGTATATATATATATATATATATATATATATATATATATATATATATATATATATATATATATATATATATATATATATATATATATATATATATATATTTTATTTTATTATCACACTGGCCGATTCCCACCAAGGCAGGGTGGCCCGAAAAAGAAAAACTTTCACCATCATTCACTCCATCACTGTCTTGCCAGAAGGGTGCTTTACACTACAGTTTTTAAACTGCAACATTAACACCCCTCCTTCAGAGTGCAGGCACTGTACTTCCCATCTCCAGGACTCAAGTCCGGCCTTCCGGTTTCCCTGAATCCCTTCATAAATGTTACTTTGCTCACACTCCAACAGCACGTCAAGTATTAAAAACCATTTGTCTCCATTCACTCCTATCAAACACGCTCATGCATGCCTACTGGAAGTCCAAGCCCCTCGCACACAAAACCTCCTTTACCCCCTCCCTCCAACCTTTCCTAGGCCGACCCCTACCCCGCCTTCCTTCCACTACAGACTGATACACTCTTGAAGTCATTCTGTTTCGCTCCATTCTCTCTACATGTCCGAACCACCTCAACAACCCTCCCTCAGCCCTCTGGACAACAGTTTTGGTAATCCCGCACCTCCTCCTAACTTCCAAACTACGAATTCTCTGCATTATATTCATACCACACATTGCCCTCAGACATGACATCTCCACTGCCTCCAGCCTTCTCCTCGCTGCAACATTCATCACCCACGCTTCACACCCATATAAGAGCGTTGGTAAAACTATACTCTCATACATTCCCCTCTTTGCCTCCAAGGACAAAGTTCTTTGTCTCCACAGACTCCTAAGTGCACCACTCACTCTTTTTCCCTCATCAATTCTATGATTCAACTCATCTTTCATAGACCCATCCAATGACACGTCCACTCCCAAATATCTGAATACGTTCACCTCCTCCATACTCTCTCCCTCCAATCTGATATCCAATCTTTCATCACCTAATATTTTTGTTATCTTCATAACCTTACTCTTTCCTGTATTCACCTTTAATTATCTTCTTTTGCACACCCTACCAAATTCATCCACCAATCTCTGCAACTTCTCTTCAGAATCTCCCAAGAGCACAGTGTCATCAGCAAAGAGCAGCTGTGACAACTCCCACTTTGTGTGTGATTCTTTATCTGTTAACTCTACGCCTCTTGCCAAGACCCTCGCATTTACTTCTCTTACAACCCCATCTATAAATATATTAAACATATATATATATATATATATATATTATATATATATATATATATATATATATATATATATATAATATATATATATATATATATATATATATATAGAGTGGTCCCTCGATTTTCGTAATTAATCCGTTCCTGGAGGAGCTACTATAAACGAAATTTACGATTTGCGATTTGCGAATCAATTTTCCCCATAAGAAATAATGTAAATACAATTAATCCGTTTCTGACACTCAGAAGTATTAAAACAAAAAAGTGTTTTTACATGAAATATACATGTAGTACATAAACAATACAATGGGAAATGATGAATGAAACATTAACAGCATAACACTTACGTTTATTGGAGATTCTTCTTTGTGTATG